TTGTTTATAACCAAAAATAAGATCAATCCATTGATGAAGATGTGCTGAAACATATTCTGATTCAAGTGCTAAACGATGTAGACGAATAAATTCTTCTGGTGAATCATGAGCCCATAGTGGTAATTGAACATCATTTACATCTTGATTATTAGATTGTAATTTTCCCAAATCAAATTTATTTGAATTTAAAAGAAATTCTGGTAGATAGAAAAATTCTGGTATTAATTCTTTTCCATCATTTGGTGAATCCATTATATTTGTCCATGATGATTGAAATGAATGAAATTGTCGATCTGCTATGTCAAATCTAAATAGAGTACAATTAAATATTTTGATTCATAAGAATATTGTATTCACATACTTTCCACTTTGTAATTGAATATGTAAAGTAGTAAATGGTTCCATACGAATAAGATAATGCATGACACTTGCTGCATTTGAATAATGTGTACCATAATGAAATTTTTGTATTAAACCAGTTGGATCATCGAACGATTCATATCTATTAAAAAATTAGTAAAGATATTTGTTTAATTAACAATTCTGTCAATTATCTACAAAATTCGAAATGAAAGACGACGAGAGATGCTCACAGGTGTTCAGAAATCATGTACACCTATAGGACACGTTCACGAAAACATCATTCTTCGATATTGTTGCCATTCGATTCCATAGGACATCAATGACTTGAAGAAGAAGGTCCAAAAAAAAATATGTTGAAGGAAAATGTGTAGCTCCATAAGGATATAATAATCCGCAATAAATTTATAGTAATCATAGTGTACAATAATGTCATCAAATGTTTTCGTGATGCTTGGCCAAACTATCTCTAGTTTTTGTTGATTTATATGATAAAATATTGTTTCATTTATTACAAAATACAAAGTCTCATTAATTACTATTAGCATTGATATAAATGAAATTCAATTTAGATAATTCTAGCGTATATGTTTGAGTTTTACAAGTGTCAAACTTATATTAGGATTTGTAATGATTTTCACGGTTCTCTTCCAGCCGTGTGAAAGTCTCTACTTATATATCGACAGCTTTTTGTCTGACTGACAATATTTTTTTATCAAGCATGTAGGTAATGACTAGAGAGACGCAAGTGGTAGTTGTTAGTCCTTGTTATAAGCAGCAACAGATACAAGAAATCGAAATACACTGTTGAGCATGATGATCAGCCTATGTCAGATAGGTACACACTCCTCTTTTTGAGGTTTTTACATTTTAGACAGACCGTTTAAAATTGTGAGATCAATCAATTGTCATATTTTTCTTAAAATTTCAATAATAGAAATATTCGTTTTTTTTTTTAATCTGAAATATATGTATCAAAATAAATAGTGAAGTATCTTTAGCATTAGCAAATAAGACATAATCTTCTTAATAGAAAAACTTACTTGAATTTTACTTCATCAATATGTTTTGGATTTTGAATTCCGATAGGTCTTGAAAAATCTCGAAAGACATTTGGATTCTTAATATCTAACACTTGCGATGTATAATCTTTCAATACCCATGGAAATATTGGATATTGATTAAGATCATTATAAGTTCGTCCAGCAATCGTATTTAACATCATTAAATAATCAAAATTTGATATTTCACGAGTAATCCATTTTTCAGTTATTTTTGATTCTTTTAAAATTTCTTTCGGTGTTACTGTTGTTACTAAACTTGTAAAACCACCTTTCATTGACGGTAATTTTAATAATAAGAGTTTTTGAAAAATTTGACGTCGTAACTTTTTGTCAATACTTGGAAGATTTTTATCAAAATTTA